CTTTATAGCCTAACCCTGACCATATACTCTAAAATTAACCTAAACCTTGGTCCTAAACCTAACCCCATACCCGTAATTTGCATTTGGACCAGGTCCCCACGATTCATTTCGGTCCCCACGAGGCTGCCTTTTTTTTTAGGAAAATTGTTCACACGTTGTAGGACCCCCCCCCCCACACACACACACAACAGTTCTCTCCTCTCATCCTGCTCTCAGCTGATTCTCGCCTCATGTCCTCCATATGTCACTTCCTCCTTTTTCATTTCTGACTTGAGTTTTCCTCCCAACCTGAACCACTGTGACTCATCCAGCGAGCACCTGCTCCAGTCGTCGTCATGATGAAATCGTCTGTTTTTTTCTCTCTCTCTCCATGTTGTTGCACAATAACGTGTGTTTTGTTTCATTAAAACGGGCCCTTCATCACACAGCTTCCTTGTCTCATGTTTGTTTCCTTTGTTTCCTGTCCAACACACTTTAAAGACACCTGGACTTCTAATCACATTGCTGTCAGAGGGGGAAATAAGTTACGTTCCAGTTTCCTGGCCTCCTGTTTGATCAGATGAAGGTCAAACTGAGCGGAAAGGCCCCGACCTCTCAAAGTGTATTCCAAAGCCAGCACTTGTCCGTTCCATCGGGGTGTCATCTGTGTTTATCCAGTCTTCTGTGTTCGCTCCTGCTGTCCTCTTTTTTCCCCTCTCTCCTCCCTCTCGTCTCCTCTCTCTCTCTCTCTCTGTCTCTCTCTCTCTCTCTCTCTCTCTCTCTCTCTCTCTGTCTCGTGTCTTTCCGATCCGACTCATTCCTGGACACAGACACACACAAGCACCCAGGGAGAATGGACTAACAAAAAAAGAAAATCCGGCTTCATGAACCAGAAGATTCTTTTCTTTCCTTCTTTCCAAAATTTGGACTTTTTTGACATCAAACAACCTAACTTTAATCATCTCTGTCCATCTTCTTTTCTTCCACTTTCTCATCTCTTCCACRTTATTTATTCATCGTTTGGTCCTGTCACTGTATCATTCAAAAACATGCCTCCATCTGCTCTTGATTTAGCATTTGAGCTGTGTAATTTCACCATCATTTTGACTAAGAAGACATAAAAAATGCTGAAGGGCTACAAAGTGTGAAGCTCACTGCAAAGTAGAATAATCTGAAGTGTGTGTGTGTCTGTTTGTGTTGTGTAAAGGAAGAGGGATATGCACACGGACAGTGAAAGAAAGCCACGTAATTCATCTTTGTGTTCATCATTTAAAACCCCAAAAATATTTCCACTCTTTTCCCGAAGGAGGTTTTAAAGCTGCTCCGCTTCATTTGCATGAAGATAAAGGAAAGTGGGACTTATGAGCAACCATCAGCCTGATAAAGGCGCTCTGGATGTAGACGTTTCCTGTGGAATTACCCTTTAAATCCTGGATTAGATCTCGAGTGACAGAAAAAAAACCCCAACAAAAACCTAAAAAGAATTAAGAATAAAAAAAAAACAGTTTTAAATTCTGGATTTTTTGACACATTTTAATGGACTAAGGCTGATTTCAGTATTTCTCTTCTCAACTGAATCTTAATGGGATTGGACTATCGCGGATTAAAGACTCAAGCAACATCTTTATCAATTAGCTGCTGTAATATTCCTCATTTCTCTCCAAATTTAATATGTCAGTGTTGAGAGTTAAATAGGTGAGTATGTGTTTTTGGCTCATGCTTTTGCTGCTTGCATGTTGAGGACGATTATTCACTTTAAAATATACATGTTTTATCATTAAGGGAGTATTTTTGCTTCTCTGTGTGTGTGTGTATGTGTGTGTGTGTGTGTGTGTGTGTGTTCAGTGGTCATGGATTTGCGTTCACAAAATAAGCGTTGGATGCTCGTGGATTATCTCACATCACTTAGAGCCTTCACTCTTTCCCTCTTTTTATCCCTTTCAGCTCATTTTAACCTTTCGTTCTAGTTTGTTGCAGGAACTTAGACAATAAAAAAAGGAACTTAACAGGTCAAAATGAAACTAGCAGCCACCAGTCGAATCATTCCTGCCTCCATTCCTATGTCAGACTGGAGTGTGTGTCTGTGTATCGAAAGCAGTCTATGTGAAGAAACAAACTTTACTACCARTTGTTTTTTTTTAATCTGCTGCTATTTCACTACAACCTGGATTACTTCACAGCAGGACCATTTTTCTAATGAATTGTTTTTGGAATCAGGGTTTTCTAATTTGTCTGGAGCAAAACACACACTCGTTCTCTTTTACACACACACACAGAGACCCCCTGACCATCCATCTGTGATGAGTGAAACGATGATTGACCCCATTACTCCACTAAAAGGTGATCTGTTCACTGCAGGACGATCACAAACACTCTTCCTCTGATCGAGTGTTTTTGGAAGTCAATTTGGTTTTTATTCATCTGCAGCAAAATTCACATTCAAGTCTCACAAATACACACCTACACACACGCACACACGGACCCCCTGACCATTCATCTGTCACCAGAGCAACAGTGATTGACCCTGTTTCTCTGATTTACCTTCCAGTCGTCTGCCTGCCGGCGCTTTGACTTCACCATATGTGTTTATGTGTGTTTAGCGCTCCCCGCGCAGGTTGAGGCTGCGCCRCCGTACCCGTAACACCCACCTGGGACTCGCTCCCACAACCCGAGCCGATTACCCGTCCTGCTCAGTGCTCCTGGCACACATGTGACCTCGGGGGGCTCGCCCACAGATGGGCACTTAAGCCCAGGTAGTCTGTCAAAGCTGTCGCTGCTGCAAAATGGACRCGAGCTCTGGCACGCTGCTGGATGACTTTTTTTTTTTTTTAGCTGTATACAAACATCTTTGTTGTGCTGTCACGCAAATGTAGATGGTGATGTGAACATTAAGAAGCACTTAGCTGGAAAACAGCATTTGGTACATCTGATTTGACTGGTGTTTCAGAGGGAAAAGCTGAGAGCATTTCCTTAGAGCGTAGCTTGGAGGTAATGTGAGCATATGCAACCGAACGGCCCATTTGCTTCCCATCACAATGGGATGTGTAGCATTTTGTCAAAMTCTGGATTCTAATCATGAGTGTGTTTTATCGTACGGTGTCTCAGCCAAACGTGGCGTTCCAGTGGTTGTCGTACCCCAGACGCACGTCCGTCTAATTGATTAACATCTTTGTTAATTTTGCCAGCGATTTGACTGAACAGTAAATCTGGGTTGTTTTAATAACTGGGGCACTACGACATATTTCCCGAAACAGTTTGGTGCCAGAAGCTTTTGATGAAGGCGAGCCTGCCAAGCGTCTCCAAACGGAGCTTAGGAGATTTCACAGGCGACGCGYTCGCAGTCTTCATTGATAAACAGGCCAGGAGAGGAGACAGCAGGAGCTGAGGAGATTCATAATCCCATCCTCTCTTCCTACTGATTCTCTCTCTATCCATGTGCCGCCTAATGAGACAACAAAGCAGCTCCTGCGTGTGGCTCGGAGTGTTCCGCAGCCGCCTTGTTAGGTGTTTTGTATTCCACTAACTTGCGCCGCTTCAGAACCCCTAATTCACTTTGACAGCGCRCGTCGTCACCTCCACCGTTCAGAGACGAGTTTAACCTCTAAAATCTGGCGCGAGGAGCAACTAGCTCGAGCCTTGATTCCTGGAATGTAGTGCTGCAAGACGACCTCATCCGTCCCTGCGTGGGAAACGGATCCACAGAACTTTATCTGAAGCTCGTAACGTGTGCCTCCGAGAGCCGTTCTCCCACTACAGAGCAAGCAGGGTCTCTGTGGGACGGCTTCAGGAGTACAACTCCATTTTATTGGCCGWATGCTCACATCGAGTGAGCGGAATATGGGGCATGATCTGATATAAAAAGGCTATTTAATAATTCATCTGAGCTTATTAAGAGGATCGACAGAGATGCTGTCTGAGAGAAGTGATGTACACAGAGTGAGTGGACTGAAATGGATTTAACACCTCTTTATAAGACTAGGACCAAGTGTGTGGGGGGCGGTGGGGGGGGGGGTATCAAAGTGTCTACATTTAAAGTGAGCAGAATACTGCAAGTCAGCTGTGCAGGTTCACGTGATGATGGGTTATCACATGTTGCCGCATGTGCATGTCGTCTCAACTTCGTGTGAGACCCGTCAATCCATTAAAAATGAAATGTCCAATCTGTTCCCCYGCGGAGACCGCTTCATTATTCATTAACATATTTCACCTAATCATTTATTTACCCAAACCATGGCTCACTTGCTCCTCTTCTAATCAGATGGACTCTTTGTTGTGTGTCAGCTTTGTTATTCGTCTCATTTGAAACRCGTTACTCGTTAATAACATGTATGTAGATGAGTTTTTGTTATTTACCTACATGACCTTGTTTACATACATGACCTTCACTTTGCATTTGACCTGTAAACGCTACTGTGGAATGCTCTCTCTTCAATCTGTATTTAAATCCCCCCTCCACTTTGGTCTGCTGTATTTGTTTTGAAAGCGAGCAGCTTGGAGATGCCAAAGCAGTGCGTGGCTTTATTAGCAACTAAGTGATGGTGACCTGCTACTGACCCTCTGTCCTTCTTGTTCCCTTTTGCAATAACAGAGTGGCGGACATCAGAAAAACAAGATTCCCTGAGCACCTTTTCTAAGAAACACAAGTGAAGCTGCTCCTGTGGAGTGCGATTWTCACGAAACCGATGCTCTGTCCTCTGGACCGTTTGAGGATTTTACCTAAGACTGCTGTAAGTTTTTTTTTCTATGTGGAAAAACTGGAATCTGAACAGAAAATACTAACAGCACCACTTTTCATTCTCACCTCTTGAATTAGTGAACATTTGTTCCACATAATCCCTAAAGCCACAGTTCAGATCTTTAGATGTGGGGATCTGTGGAAAAGTTTTGAACACTTAATATCTTACCTGTCGTAGATGGCTTTTTGAACAACCTCAGTTTGGAGATAATATGACAAGCTAACAGCTAGTCTGTGCGGGACCAATACCAAAATGAACTGCTGTTGTTTTATTCTCATACTTTAATGCAAACTATTATTTATGCCTTTATGTTGCCTTCAGTTTAATTTTACATGATTACTCTGGTAGAAAGATACTGATATTTTTGCAGGAAGTATTATAGCTCGCTGCTGTTGGTGTTTGAAATGGCAAATAATCACAAAATTTTATGTAAAATTGACAACAAAATTAAGGTTATAAAATAGTGTTTGCATAATCTACAGTAAAAGTTTTGAAATTGGAATTRTTTAAGAATGCCAATTCAATCAGTATGAAACTATTTTCAACACTGTCTACAACAGGTAAGATATTAATTGTTCATAACGGTTCCACAGAACCACACTTATAGAATGAAAACAAGGGGAGTTATACTTAGTAACCCTATGGTGGAAAAATTCAAAACACAATACAAATACAACTGACCTTTTCCAAATTATGTTTTATGTAGAACATATAGAACCTAACAAATAGAGCAAAAATAAATCAATTTAGAAAGACTCATCATTAGCATTCATTTATTATGCCTTACACCTTTTCAACAACTTTTTGATCATTTCTTAGAGATACATTTTATCACAATCCAGTAAATCAATTTAAAAAAGAAAACCCTCACTAAAAATCCAATTAATTGACTTTAAAATGAGAAGATAATTCAGAAAAAGATAATGAAAGTTGATTATCTGTGGCTGTTTTCATTCTAGAAATCAAAGATTACTGCAAAATTCCAACTTAATTTTCTTGGCTTGAAAGCTGTCATGAGTAGAATGCACTAAATACAGCAACAAAGATTATAAATATTTTCCATTTAAAGTGTTACATTTGGAGCCAGATAAAATGGTAATGAGAGCCAGATTTGGCCCTTGGGCCTTGAGTTTGACACATYGAGTTTAATTCATATTCAATTAAGTTTTTGATTCCACAAATAGTGCATCGAAACTTGAACACAAAAGTTCTGTGAGTTAAAAGAAACAGAATGAAATCACAATAATTTTTTTGTCATTTTGAAACACAAAGCCACTCACAATCAATATTCATATTGTTTAATTTTGTTTTCTGTTGACTTTAGTTCAGCCTCCCTCAGTCCGAGGCTATGAGAGGGAGAGAGGAGTCCCTGGCCGCTCCACCATGCTACTTCTGAGAAGCTGGGATGAGACTTTGGCTGGCAGAACACAAGGTAAGGCAATATTGATGCACGGGAGCCTCTTCGCTGGCCGAGCCTCTCGTAGTTTTCTTGTCCCCGCTGAGACTCGCTGAAACAACCCATCTTATCTCGGCTGCTTGTGTTTGTGCGTCTGCAGCTTCCCTGAATGTGTGCAAAGCTCAGTGATGGATGTTCTGAAACTCCAGAGAGCTTTTTTCTTTTTTTTTTTACTTTGTATCTCACGCCAGGTTTTGCTTGAGGGTCAGGATAATGGTTCAAGGTGGAGTCTGCAGACAAATGGTTTAATCCTTGGTTTGTTGCACTGTGTGCACTTTGATCAATGGCGTGCGTCACACCTGACTCGGGACTTATTGACTATTGACCTCATCTCCATAGCTCTACAGGCATTGATTAGGCAGTTAAAAGATTTGTTTGAGTGTGATTTTTGTGGCGGAAGCCTGTTTGAATGCGCTTTTTTGTTAGTTGTCTTCACTTGCTTCTGCTTCTGCATGCAGGAAAACAAGGATGTTTGTTTTCTGTGATGAGATAATAAAAAAAATGACAGAGTTAAACAGGATAAATAGAACAGAGGTCAATGGGAGGTTATTATCATATCAGCACATTTTACCATTTTCTCATCAGTTTTCCTGACACATCCTATAAGTTATTCCCTGACTTCTAATCCACCACCTTATTTCTTTTTGTCCTCTCCCTGCCCTTTTATTGTCTTCCCTCTTCCTCCACCCCAATCCATTCTCTCTTTTCTTATGCACTATTAATCAGTTTAAGAGACGTGAGTTCTTGGCATGAAGCTGCAGGAGTAAGAAACTAAATTCCTTCCCCCTATTTTTTTTTCAAGGGAAAACAGGAGTTATCGAGAGCGGAGACGTGAGGTGGGAGTAATGGAATATGCGCTCAGTGTGTTAGTGCACTGGAAACTAGTGTCAGGGCACCGTTTCTCCCATTACTTTAAAGCAGCTGCCTCGGCCAGCAGCGGAGAGAGACGGTGCAGCTCTGTAATGAAGTGCCTCAGCCTCGGCCCTCTGTCGTAAGCCCAAAGTCACACAGCGGCTTCAGCTGTTGCTGACGCCGCGCTTTTCCTACTATCGCCTTACATCAGAGAGCATTACCATATAGATGAATTAGCATTGACGCGGAGTCCCATTTCCACACAGCTCTCCGCTGTTGTTTGAAATATAAAAAGAAAGCTGCTTCACRCACACAGTTACAGATTATTAGTCTATTAGTTTTGTTATTGAACTCGAGCGAGCTTCCTGCTCTCAGAAAAGGTTAAAAGAAAAAGCACTGCCTGGAATAATGACTAAAYGAGGACATGTTAGAATAATAATGTCTCATGAGGTTTTTTTTTTTAGATTTATGTCTAGCCCTTGTGTACCTAAGCTAAATAGGATTCTGGGCTCTAATTTTATCAACACAGCCCGGTGCCATTAATTAACTTCAGTGTGGCTTTTCAATCACTTTTCAGTCAAATCCATTTAACAATGGATTCTTATTTAAACTCTGGCAACTCGTGTCATCAGTCACAGCCAATGAGCTGGTGAAATATATTGAGGCCACGTTCTTTGAAATGTAAAATGATGTGGGTTTTTTTTTCAGGGTCACCCTTCTCTGCTGATGCACAGAATGCAGTTCATGGCACAGATCTGTACTGGAGCGTAACAGTGAGATAAATAACTCCTCTGTAGTCACTGATTGTCCAGCTTTTCTCTTTCCTGATGAAAAGTTTCAYATTATTCTCTTGCACTCATTTGGAGAGGATATTTACTGATCTCACTTTATGCCTCTTTAAAAGTAAGAATAATAGGTGTTTTTTTCTTTCTATTACATGTTCAAGTAATGGTTCAGATTTGTTGAAGTGGCAGAGAAGTCKGCGGAGAACTTAAGAGCAGTCAGTATCTAACCTTCTGTAGATGAAGCCACATTAAAACAACCTTAGTCGCAAAAATCTTATTGTGTAGATGCAAAATTCTATAAACCTTTAGATCGACGTTATGTTTGCTTTAGATGCTTATTTACACTGAAAACTGAGTTGTCTCTGGACTTAATATTTTATCTGAGTCACATATTGAAAACTAAAACAAGCTAAGTGTGATCTGACAAAGAAACAAAAGTATAAAAACATTTTTTACACTGCCTTATGTTTCCATTAGATAGTTTTGTATTTTTCTTTTKCACTAYAAAAGCTCTTATAAAACACCTTCARTTGGGTTTTRGATGCTGTCTAACGACTTCTGAATGGACTGAGGTGGTGAGTTTGGGGTCTATGCTGATCCAGCCCTGGTGTGCCTTTGTGCCATAACAGAGCTTACATGACCAACATGTGAAAAAGTAAACYGGCTTGTGTCTCAGTAAAGTTTAACAACAGCAAACAGTTTTGTTATAGAGTGAAGATTGACAAAAGTGCAGAACACCTCACACAGATGAGATKAACTTTTCTTGAATCGTCTGCAATGACTGCAACATTTTTTCACAYGAGTTCAACTAAACAACAACTGCAGCTACCAAGCAACAACAAGTGAACATTAGCTACTGTTAGCTTTCCGTCATCTTCAGCTGCTGGATGGTCTGGTACAGCCCTCAGTACGTTTCCTTCAAGCTTGATGTTGTAGATTGTTGTGTCACAAATAAAATGACATGAATTTTAGGCATTTTTGATTCTGCGCTGCTTGATTTATTTCTGAAAGCTCATGTGTGTGCGGGATGCAACCAGCTTCGTTTGTGATTTATATGCGGGTGGAGGTAGCATAAAGAAAGACTCTGACAATTTTACAAAACTGTTCTATGAAAGAGCCTTATGTTACACATGAATTGTTTTATTTAAAAAACTCTAGTGCAAAAGATTTATTAAACATTATTGTAGGGAACCGCTGTGATATTTAAAAAAAATGAGTTGTTTTAGGACAACATAATCTATTTTGGTCTTAAAATCACTCAGGTTAATGTTTACTCATTAGTTTGATCATTAATAAACTACATCAATTTTTCAAACTGAGGTTGTTCAAAGAGCTATCTACAACAGGTAAAATGCTGACAGCTTATCTAATGTACCAGACTTTTAAAATGGTAAATGGACTGTACTTATATAGCGCCTTTCTATCCATCCAGGACACTCAAAGCGCTTCACACTACAGACATTCCCCCCATGCACACACACACACACATTCACACACTGACGATGGCAAACTACAATTGTAGCCACAGCTGTCCTGGGGCGCACTGACAGAGGTGAGGCTGCCTTACACAGGCACCACCGGACCCTCTGACCACCATCAGTAGGCAAGGCGGGTAAGGTGTCTTGCCCAAGGACAAAACGACTAAGTCGACTGGATGGGGATTGACTGGATGGGGATCGAACTGGCAACCTTCTGGTTCCAGGACGGTTCCCCTAACCACTCTACCACAGCCGCCTCAAAATAATCTGAACTCTTTAAATGCAGAAATCTGCTTTGGATGAAGTTAGGGACAGGAAAGAATTCTGGAAAGGAAATGTAGGAGGAAGTTTCAGTAATTATCTTTGGGGGATGTCAAAAACTCCTTGAATGAGCCTGTTCCACTGTGTAATTCTGTTTTGCCAACAAATATAAAGTTTCACAGCAGTGTGTGGGCATATTTTATTATTTTAATAGTGGTACTTAAAAAAAAAAAACCTTCAGGCACGGCCATATTACTCTGGCATATTTCTCAACGTAATGAAAACTAATCGAATTGTGCGTGTTAGGCTTCACTGATGCTAAATTATTTTGTGACTCTTGTAAAATATGTCAGAACTGTGATAACACAAGTGCTGTTTTATTTCACTGTAATGCTATTTTATGTTCATTACTATGAATTTAATTTGATCATCCTTCTTGTAGAGTCATTTTCAGTTCACTTACTTAAGTCTGACCAAAACAGCTGCAAAGATATGTGCTGTAGGATCGATTTAGTTGCAAAACAGTGGATCAATAGATCCTCGCTCATCCTTGCCCCCCCGGCAGAGGAGCAGCAACATAAGTCACCTGAAAAACGTCCTGCAGATCCAATCGTTAGCTGAATGCTGCGCTTCCAACGTTTGCTTTGGTGGCATCTGTGTTTTCTGGCACATCCTCAGATGCGGTTGAGAGGGGAGGCTTCAGGCGCTGTTGATGTTTTTGCTCTAGTTGTTGGRTAAATTTACGGCTGAAACGAGTCCTTGATTATAGAAATCAAATCAAGTAGCACTGATGCTTTTTTTTACATAATGTTTCATCAGTGTACAAATGTCTGTGATAAGACATGATTTTGTAACCATATATTGTACAGTGTCGAAAAGAATTTGCCCAGAAACATTCCTTGTCTCATAGCTAAGGCTGAGCACCACTAACAAACAATAACTGAGCTCTACGTGGTATTTCCTGCTTAGAAACAGTGTTTTAACACGTCCTCATGAACACTGAAAAGCACTACGTGTTTGACCAACTTAATTTGAAAAAAATAATACAGAAATAATAGAAAAGTAAGAGACTTTTACTCACTGATGAGWTGTGGTGCCTCTCTGCAATTTTCTGACAGGGAATATCCATTGGAGGGGCATTCCAGTTTAAACTTACATCCAGTACAACTGGGCCGCAACAAAAGTAGCCAGTGAAAATGCAGTAAAATGTAGATTTTACGTGGGAAATTACACTGGCTGCCGGATATTTTGAACCTTGTGCTCTTCCACCTAGTGGTGGGATGCTGTTATTTTGCTGGTAAAATAAACAACATGCATTATGGGAGATGTATTTTATAATCTATGGCTTTGAAGCAGTATTAGTTTATTTTAAGACAATAATCTTTGAAGCTCTCACAGTCCACTTAAAATGCAGTGGAAGGCCAGATTTGGTCCGCAGACCTTAAGTTTAACACATGTACTGTAGGTACATTTTCTTTTATTTTAGTTTAAATCAGTAACACGATGCAACATGTCAGTCTGTACATATTGTTTCGTATGTTTCTTTCTAAGCTCTGCTTCAGCTGACTCGCTGTTTTTCTGGTCGCACCTTGAGGTTGCG